TGCTGGCCACACAGAGCTCCAGGGGTTTACAGGATGAAATGAGGAATCTGAAAGGACCCTCATGTGGCATGAGTGAGTTTGCATTAATTCGAATGTGTCCTAGATGCTTGCTTCCTTGTGGCAGAACAATGAACCCTTCCCTCAGATATCCAAGGGGGTCAGTCCTGTCGAGAGAGCACAGCAGTGATGTCATAGGCTCCTTCTTAGAGCATGGAAGTGAACTCATGCTAATGGCCATCTGGGGCAGCTCTTCTTCATAAGCTCAGCTGGATTTTGAACCCGAGTTCTGACTCAAGGGTATCTGCTGCACATTTGCCTGCGGGGGCTTTATGATTTTATACTCCTGAGAAGAAGGCTGTGGGGCCATCCAGGACAAGAGCATAATGGCCATTTATGCTTTCTTGCAGCCAGGATCCTGGGGATGTTACCAGGTGTGAACATGAGGGTGTCTTTGTGAGGCCAGGTAGGCTGATGAAGAAGCTCAAAGGTGAAGACTAGGGTGATGCACTGGTGGTCATAGCCAAGAGGCCGGTAGTGGCAGTGTGGGGTCTGGTGACACATGTGGGAGCCTCACTAGGCCAGTGCTCTGGTAAGATGTCATGCTTGGGGATATGTGTAGTGTCCTTTAACCTGCACAGTCCAGCAAGGTGCACTACTGTCATGGAAGTCACCTGACCCGATAACAGATGTGAAAGAACTTTGCCAAGGATACAAGTCTGAAAGTTGCAAAGTCAAATTTTGAACACACATCATTTGAATATAAGTTTCTTGCTTTTGACACTAAACTGCTACCTTAGTGTGAATTGTCCCCAAGATAAACCAGGGAACTTATTTAGGAGAGGATCTTAAGGAGGCTAATAAAGGGAATTCTGGTGCTGGTCAGGGCTGAGGGCAATTGGGATGGGGAACCCTCTGAGAAACCCAGGCATGGTCTCACCAGAGGAGGGGAGACTGGGACACTTACCCATCAGTCTCTCTCCCCTTGGTTCAACAGCCCCAGAGGGGTGAGGCTGACAGGGGCTGGGCACGCCACAGTGGCAGTGAACTCAGCATTGCTTCCACTTCCTACCTGGAAGACTTACTGCACATCTGCTAGCTCAGAGCCCTGGAGCTTTGAGCCAAGCTCCCTTCGCTGCCAATCTAGAGAAGTGATCAAGGGTCCACATGGGCAGGGTGCCAGGAGCTGGCCTTGCCAGGTGAGGTGCCCTGGAGTGAAGGAGCAGCTTGCACACCTCCTCTGAGGAGCTGGAGGACTGTACCCTGGGCTGTTTTTTTTTTTTTCCTGGTGTGAGGCTGGCAGAGAATATACTGCTTCTGGAGCAGGAACGGCAGAAGCTGCAGTCTCAAGAGGTCCACTCTTGCCTCTCCTACTGAGGGCTTCACTCCCAGGAATAACTGTGCTGGGCATCATTTTGCAGCTTCAGCATCCAATCCTTGGCCCTGGGGCAGTCCCCTAAAGTTTCTTTCCTCAAACTCAGTGTTGATGACTCACTTCCTGGTTTTGCTTTTGAAGGTTGGGCTGCCCTGGTTTGTGATCCTCCTATCACTATAAGCAATTTTTAAATAACATACTTGCAATTATTGAAATGCTTGTTATGAAGAATTAGCTTTACACGCGTGGGGAAGGAAGGAGGTTCTGCCTTGTGAGGACTGCTCCATGTACTGGTGCCTGCGGGTCCCTGCTGTCTGAGGCTCAGTGAGGCTTTCTGTGAGGAGAATGTCAGCTGCAGCAGCTATGACTTGTCATATACCCTAACCAAGGATTGCTGGAAAGGTGGTATCTTCCCATACTCAGGTTTCTGCAGGCCTCACTACTGGGAGGGGTGCTACAAATACACTCCACACTTCAGTGCATGATGCTGGCACACAGCTCACTGAGAAGTAATCGCCCTGTCCTGGCGGGGCCTCTGACATCACCATGGGCGTTCCAGGAACTTACAAACCATAAGTCCATAGGCTTCCCAGCCATAGAGAGCATATTGATTTTGAAGGCTTATCTTGTCTAACTTTTGATGGAACATGGGTCCTGCCCACATATGAGTGAACTTTATTTTCTGCAATGTGGTTCCTCAGACATTTAACCCATGTAGTCTTTCCTTCATGTTTCTACTTGTCCCCAAGATGTGAAGAAAGGTGTTGGGCTACTATTTTTCCAAACACAGTGCTGACTTCCAGGGCCCACAGGCATTGTCCCAACCTCCTCCCCCTCTGCTGAGATCTGCCTCCAGCCTCTGAGTGACCATATTGGTGTCAGAGATTATGCTTCTTCTTGGAGACAGCATGACATTCCCTGAGCTTTCATCTTTCAAGGTTCCCACAAAATTGTAGAACTGCGTCTCTTCTGCCTTTCCATTGTCAGTAATTTCCCTAGACTTGTGGACACAGAGGAGAGTGGAAGGGGCTCTATTAATAAGTACACCGGAGTGATGGGCACTGACTTGGATGCTCTTGGACCAGCTGGGGTATATGACCTCCTGGATAAGTCTCTCCTCACACCTGGCATTGCCAAGGTGGGCCCAAAGTTCTCTCCAGTTGGAAACAAAGCAGCTAGTCTCCCCTACTTGCTTGAGAGGTTCTTTCAGGGTTCTTCAGCCCTGACATGGGGTGGAAGAGCATCTCTAGTCTCTTACCACAATTCCCTTTTTATCTTCCCAGTTTTCCTATTTTTCATGGGAATACTTCATTCAGTCCTTTATATGTTCAACAAATATTTAAAAATTCTAATAATGGACCAGACATCATTACTCACACAAAGCACATATTAATAAGATAGATAAGTGCCCTAGCCGGATGAATTTGGCGTGTAGTTGATAAGATCATATCTCATACATGCATTTTAAATTGCATCTCTCTGATGATTAGTGATACTGAACATCTTTTCAGGTGTCTATTGGCCATCTATATGTTCTCTTTAGAGAAGTGTCTATTCAGATCCTTTGCCCATTTTTTTCAATTGTGTTGTTTGTCTTCTTGGTGTTGAGTTGTATACGTTTTTATATTTTTTGGAAATGAATCCCTTATCAGATGTATCATATTTGCCCATGCAGTGGGGTTATTTTTTATTTTGTTGATGGTTTCTTCTGCTGTACAAAAGTTTATATCACCTTATGCCTAGCAGAACAGTTATCATCAACAAATCAACAAACAAGTGTGGCAGGTGTGGAAGGCAACCGGTAGATGTTTCTCACATTGATGTTTCTCTCTTAAGAAAACACCATTTTGTTAATGGAACTATCTTTTGACCCAGTGATCCCACTTCTGGGGATATATATGAAACACAAAACACTAATTCAAAGGAATATATGCACCGCTATGCTCATTACAGCATTATTTATAGTAGCCAAGATCTGGAAACAGTCGAAGTGCCCATCAGTAGATGAGTGGGTAAAAAAGCTGTGATACATTTACATCTTAGAATACTACTCTGCCATAAAAATGAAGAAAGTCTTATTATTTTTTAAAAATATATTTTATTGATTTTTCACATAGAGGAAGAGAAAGGGATAGAGAGTTAGAAACATCGATGAGAGATAATCATCGATCAGCTGCCTCTTGCGGGATGCGCCCACAACCAAGGTATATGCCCTTGACAGGAATCGAACCCGGGACCTTTCAGTCTGCAGGCCGACGCTCTATCCACTGAGCCAAACCGGTCCAGGCAGAAGTCTTATAATTTGTGACAGTATGGATGCACCTGAAAATTATTGCTCTAAGTGAAATAAGCCAGTTAAAAAAAAGGCAAATATCATATGATCTCACTTATATGTGGAATCTAATCTACAAAATAATATATCAAACAAAATAGAAATAGAAGCATAGATATACAGAACAGACTGATAACTGTCATAGGAGGGACTTGGTGAAAAAGGCAAAGGGTTTAAGCAAGAAATAAATATAGAGGTATGACACATAGATATAGACAATAGTATGGTGATAGTGCAGCTGGAACAGGGAGTCAAAGGGGCAGGGGCAAGGGTAAAGGCAGGGGCAGGGACAGGGGCAGAGGTGGGTCATGCAGAGGGCTTCACAGTTACTACTCTGGTTGTGATGAAACCATTTGAGAGTTCTGACAGAGGAGTGATAGGACTGCACTATACCTTTGACCCTGATCTTGGAGGGTAGACATTTCACTCCGTGGGTGAGAACAGAGGCAGGGAGACCAGGGAGGGGCTATGGTGGTACTCTGGGGGAGAGAGTTAACAGTGGATTTCAGAGAACAGAACTGAAGCCAGTGGTTGTGAGTTTACATGGAGGCAAATTTTGGCAGAGAAAGAGTAGGATTTTTTAAAACATTTTGGGCTGATTGACAATATTGGGCTTCAAGGGTAATGATTCCTTTCTATGCCATTGCTGAGGCCGAGTCTGGTCTCCAGTCAGAGCTGGGAAAGCACAGGCCTCCCAAGTCCCTCTGGCCCACGAATCCCCTGCATTGGACATAGTGCATGTTTTCGTACCCACCATGGGCCACAGACTGGTGTCTCAGCTGCTGGAAAGATCATTCAGTGGTTAAGAACAGAGACATCAGGCTTATAACTTGGCCATGTGATTCTTTTGGGTAAGTTTTGTCATCTCTCAGGATCTCTGTTTTTTGCATCTATATTATAAAAGGCCAGTTGCCATAACATCCTAACGACCAAACGACTGTTCACCGGGAGGTGCATTGATGAATTTGAGGTGTGGCAGGTTTCAAAGCGCAGCAGGTTTCTGGGTCCTGCTGGCTTGGCAGGTTTCTGGGATTTCACACACTGGGCGTCTAGTAAGAAATAAAGATTAATGGCCCCTCAAGGGTTGTTGTGAGGATTAAATGATTAATCGGGTACTTCTCTTATTCTCTTAGCTTATCAACATGGAATAAAGCTCTGGATATTGGTTGTATAAAACTCCTGAAAGGTGTGAATGAGGTGTGGCTCAGTCAGTGACATGAGTCACACCTCTGTCCCCAAGTCAGTCCCAAGGAATTTTCAATTACAAAGCATTGTCCTCATCTGTGTTTCTTTACCATTGTTTTCTGGCCTCTAATGTGCTTTGGTCTCTCTCGGACCCCAGAATGGCCACACCTGTGTTGCCTCCAGTCACCCAGTGACACTCACGGGACCTCTGTGCTAGACCAGCCTTCTTGACAACGTGGGCACACCCAGACCAGGAAATGACCCAGCCCTTAAATACTCATTAGAAGGCTGAGAGTCCTGAGGAGCCCTTGCATGTAGTGGAGCCAAAGGTTGTATTGGCCAAGGGACAAGAGCAACTCTTTGAACAAAGGTAAGTGACATTGTGGGCAGCTCTCTCAGGCCCCTGTGTCTAGCCTGAAGGAGCCTCTGGAGATCAGGGGCCCAGGGTCGAAGGCTCAGGGCATCAGAGGAGCTGGGCCGCTTCCACGAGTGTGAGTGGCTGGCTGCCTACTCCCCCTCTAAGGATAACTGTAGAATCAGGCACTGAGGGTCCTGAGGCAGGGAGGGTGGTGAACAACTGCTTCTCACTGTGGGGAGTTCTTCCTGCTGCCCTGACTGGAAGCCCAGAGACAGGAATCCTATGACCTGGAGCCTGTGGATGTCCATGGCAGGGTCCTTATAGATGCCTGTTTGGATGGGGAACAGGGGGAGATGGGGGAAGAGAGACAGGCTTGCTGCCAGTTACTTAGGATGCTCAAACTTGAAGTCAGGAGAAGTGGTGACTTACCAGCTGTGGAGGGCTAAACAGAGATGAACACACCCTCTCTAAACCCAGAAACTCATCCTAGAAGGTGTCTAGGGGTACTCTGAAACCTCCTTGCAACCCCAAGGAGGTTTGACAGTGATGGGGGGAGAGCACCCCAAGGCCATCACTGTCTGGAGAGCCAGGACTATCTAGTCCTGACAGAAATGGGAGCTTCCACTTGGGGTTGTCTGGCCTGGAACTTGCTCTTCCCATCCTCAGTCTCACATGTGCAGCTAGAACAGGATTTCAAGGCAGCTTCCTCCAAACAATTTTTTACATACATTTCCAGGGGGAGGGCAGGGAAATGAATAATGTGTTTTTCTTCCCTCCTTCCTTCACAAGGCCAGATGATGACAACCTCCTCGCCACCATCTGATCTGCCTTATCTTCTTCACGGAAAACCTAAAGTCAGTATGTTCACCCCAGGAAGTAAGTGTCAAATTACAAACCAGCATGGTGGTCTCCATTGGACCTCACCAAGGACAACAGGGCACCAGGTCCTTTCATTTGCTCAGCTACAGATGTATTTGCTGGAATACTCACATCATGAAAGATGCACTTGAAAATTTCAGAGCATTTAATTCTTGTCTTATGTGTGTGTTTAGAATTGTTTACTTAGTTTGATAAAGAGGGCAAAGAAAAAAACAAACAGTATACTGATGACCAATTTATATATATATATATTTAGTATTGAGAGACTGTCAATCAGAAAAGGACAAGTTACTGATAACCCTTGAAAATCTTTGGGGACCATGATTTCAAAACCTTTGATTCACAAAACAGCCCCTTACTTGCGCTCTCTCTCTCTCTCTCTCTCTCTCCCTCTCTTATGAGACACTGATTAGACTTTTATTAATAAAAGACATTGTAGCCATTCTAACATTATTTTTATTTTTGTCTTTGTTTTTGTTTTGTAGCTCCTGCTAATCCTCAATTGAGTAAGTATATTTTTACTTTAAAAATTACATTGTATTCTATACTTAAGAAAAATAGAAAATGCATAAACATATGAATACTATTTAGGAACTGTTCTTATTTGGTTTAAAATAGGCTAAGAATCAATAAAACCAGCATTAAATGTAAATTTTAAGTTCCAAGGATATGGATACAATGACAAATTATTTAATATTAATATTGATTTTAATTTTTTTTTCTAAATGTGAAGTCATTTACTTCAACTTGCTTAATATTTGTTATTTGTGTAACTGTAGAATTAATTTTTTTCTATTGTGGCATCACATATCATTTTTATTGTTGTTATTTTTTTCTCATTTTTTAAGGTATAAAAATGAGAAAAAAATAACAACAATAAAAATGATATGTGATGCCACAATAGAAATCCCACTTACCAATCCCCCCCCACTCCCATACGTGCCCTCCCTCCCCAGAATTTTTCGTCCATTGGTTATGCTTATGTGCATGCATACAAGTTCTTCGGTTGATGTCTTATCTCCCCCATATCTCCCTCCCCTCCCCGCTGTAATTTGACAGTCTGTTTGTTTGTTTGTTTGTTTGTTTCTTTCTTTCTTTCTTTAATCTACTTTATTGATTTTTTACAGAGAGGAAGGGAGAGGGATAGAGAGCTAGAAACATCAATGAGAGAGAAATATTGATCAGCTGCCTCCTGCACAGTTCCCACCGGGGATGTGCCCGCAACCAAGGTACATGCCCTTGACCAGAATCAAACCCAGGACCTTCCACTCTGCAGGCCAACGCTCTATCCACTGAGCTAAACCGGTTCTGGCTGTTTGTTTCTTTACTGTCTCTGTATCTATCTTTTTGTTCATTATGTTCCTTATTATCCATAAATGAGTGAGATCATGTGGTGTTTTTCTTTCATTGACTGGCTTATTTCACTTAGCATAATGTTCTCCAATTCCATCCAGGTCACTGCAAATGATAAGAATTCCTTCTTTTTTATGGCAGCATAGTATTTCGTTGTGTAGATGTACCATAGTTTTTTGATCCAATCATCTGCTGATGGGCACCTAGGCTGTTTCAAAATCCTAGCTATTGTAGATTGTGCTGCTATGAACATAGGGGTGCACATGTCCTTTTTGATTGGTGTTTCTAGTTTCTTAGGCTGTATTCCTAGGAGTGGGATTACTGGGTCAAATGGGAGTTCCATTTTCATTTTTTTGAAGAAACTCCATACTGTTCTCCACAGTGGTTGCACCAGTCTGCATTCCCACCAGCAGTGCACAAGGGTTCCTTTTTCTTCGCATCCTCACCAGCACTTGTCGTTTGCTGATTTGTTGATGATAGCCATTCTGACAGGTGTGAGATGGTACTGCATTGTTGTTTTAATTTGCATCTCTCAGATAATTAGTGACTTTGAGCATGCTTTCATGTGCCTCTTGGTCTTCCTTCTGTCTTCTTTTGAAAAGATTCTATTTAGGTCCATTGCCCATTTTTTAATTGGCTCATTTATCTTCCTTTTATTAAGTTGTATAAGCTGCCTGTAGATGTTGGAGATTAAACCTTTATCAGTGATAACATTTGCAAATATGTTCTCCCATACAGTGGGCTTTCTTGTTGTTTTGTTGATGGTTTCTTTTTCTGTAAAAAAAAAAAAGCTTTTTATTTTGATGTAGTCCCATTTGTTTATTTTCTCTTTAGCTTCCATTGCTCTAGGGGCAGTATCAGTGAAGAAGTTCTTTTGGCATATGTCTGAGATTTTGCTGCCTGTGAATGCCTCTAGTATTTTTATGCTTTCCATCTTATGTTTAAGCCCTGTATCCATTTTGAGTTTATTTTTGTGTATGGTGTAAGTTAATGATCTAATTTCATTCTTTTGCATGTATCTGTCCAATTTTCCCAACACCATTTATTGAAAGACTGTCTTGACTCCATTGTATGTTCGTGCCTCCTTTGCCAAATATTAATTGAGCATAGTGATTTGGGTTGATATCTGGATTCTCAATTATATTCCACTGATCTATATGTCTGTTCTTGTGCTAGTACCAGGCTGTTTTGAGAACAGTGGCTTTGTAATACAGCTCGAAATCTGGTATTGAGATCCCTCCTACTTTACTCTTCTTTCTCAGGATTGCTGTGGCTATTTGGGGTCTTTTATTGTTCCAGATGAATTTTGGAGAGTTCTTCCTAGGTCAGTGAAATATGCCATTGGTATTTTAATGAGGAGTGCATTGAACTTATAAATTGCTTTGAGAAGTATGGACATTTTAATGATGTTCATTCTACCAATCCATGAACATGATATGTTCTTCCATCTGTTTACATCTTCCTTTATCTCTTTTTTCAGTATCGTGTAGTTTTCCGCGTTTAGGTCTTTTACCTCCTTAGTTAAGTTTATTCCTAGGTATCTTAATTTTTTTGGTGATATGGTAAATGGGATTGCTTTTTTAGTCTCTGTTTCTGGAAGTTCACCACTGGTGCATGTAAATGCCATAGATTTCTTGGCGTTAATTTTGTATCCTGCTACATTGCCAAATTCATTTATTAAGTCTATTAGTTTTTTGATGGAGTCTTTTTTTTAATGTACAATATCATGTCATCTGCAAATAAGGATAACTTTACTTCTTCTTTTCCGATTTGGATGCCTTTTATTTCCTCTTCTTATCTAATTGCAATGGCTAGTACTTCCAGTACTATGTCAAACAGGAGTGTTTAGAGTGGGCATCCCTGTCTTGTTCTTGTTCTTAGAGGGAATGGTTTTAGTTTTTGCCCATTGAGTATGATGTTGGCTGTGGGTTTATCATATATAGCTTTTATTATGTTGAGGTAAGATCCTTGTACTCCCACCTTGTTGAGAGTTTTTATCAGGAAAGGGTGTTAGATTTTATCAAATGCTTTTTCTGCATCAATTGCTATGACCATATGATTTTTATCTTTCAATTTGTTTATGTGATGTATCATGTTTATTGATTTGTGGATATTGTACCATCCTTGCATTCCTGGAATAAATCCTACTTGGTCATGGTGTATGATCTTTCTGATGTTCTGCTGGAGCCGATTTGCTAGAATTTTGTTTAGGATTTTGGCATCTATGTTCATGAGAGATATTGGCCTATAATTCTCTTTCAATGTATTGTCTTTATCTGGTTTTGGTATTAGGGTGATGCTGGCTTCATAGAAGGAGTTTGGAAGTGTTCTTTACTCTTGAATTTTTTGGAATAGTCTGAGGAGGATAGGTTTTAGTTCTTCCTTGAATGTTTGGTAAAACTCTCCCGTGAAGCCATCTGGCTCTGGGCTTTTGTTTGCTGGAAGCTTTTTGATAACTGTTTCAATTTCTTCCAAAGTCACTGGTATATTGTGATTTTTAGATTCTTCCTGATAGAGTTTTGGAAGGTTGCATTTTTCTTGGAATATGTCCATTTCCTCCAAATTGTCCAGTTTGTTGGAATAGAGTTGTTCATAGTATTTTGTAACAATCCTTTGTATTTCGGCGGGGTCTGTTGTTATTTTACCTCTTTCATTTCTGATTTTGTTTATTTGGGTCCTCTCTCTTTGTTTCTAGGCTAGCCTGGCTAGAGGTACTTCAATCTTGTTTATCCTTTCAAAAACCAGCTCTTGGTTTTGTTGATCTTTTGTATTGTTTCTTTGGTCTCTATGTCATTTATTTCAGCTCTATTTTTATTATTTCCTTCCTTCTGCTTACACTGGGTTTTTCTTGTTGCTCTTTTTCTAACTCTTTGAGTTGTAGAGTTAGATAATTTGTTACTATTTTTTCTTGTTTTTTGCAATAGGCTTGTAGAGATATGAACTTCCATCTCAAAACTGCTTTTGCTGTGTCCCATATATTTTGGATTGTTGTGTTTTCATTGTCATTTGTTGCCAGCATGTTTTTAATTTCTTCCTTGATTTCTCTGGTAACCCAGTCCTTGTTTAATATAATGCTGTTTAGTCTCCAATATTTGATTTCTTTGGACTGTTTTTATTGTAGTTGATTTTCAGTTTTATGCCACTATGATATGAGAAGATGCTTGATATGATTTCTATCTTCTTGAATTTGAAGAGACTTTGCCTATGTACCAACATGTGGTCAATCTTTGAAAATGACCCATGTGCACTTGAGAAGAATGTATACTCTGTGGCTTTGGGGTGAAATGTTCTGAAGATGTCGATTAATTCCATCTGTCATTTAGGATTGATGTTTCTTTGCTGATTTTTTGCTTAGATGATTTGTCTAAAGGTGATAGTTGGGTATTAAAATCTCCTTCTATGATTGTATTGCTATTAATCTCTCCCTTAATGTCCCCCAGCTGTTTTTGTTTTTGTTTTTTTTAATGTATTTGGGTGCTCCTGTATTGGGTACATATATGTTTACCAGGGTTATTTTTTCTTGTTGGATTGCTCCCTTTAGTATTATAAAGTGGTCTTCATTATCTCTTATTATGTCCTTCACTTTGAAATCTAATTTGTCAGATAAAAGTATTGCTACCCCAGCTTTTTTTTTTTTTTTTTTCATTTCTATTTGCCTGGTAAACCTTTTTCCATCCCTTCACCCTCAGTCTGTGTGCATCTTTTTTTCTGAAATGGGTTTCTTGTAGACAGCAGATATATGGGTCTTGTTTTCTTATCCAATCTATTACCCTATGTCTTTTGATTGGGACATTTAATCCATTTACATTTAAAGTTATTACTGATAGGTACTTATTTGTCACCATTTTTATTCTAAACCCCTGTGTTCCTTCTTCACTTCCTATTTCTTTATTTTTACAGCAGACCCTTTAGCATTTCTTGCATTGCTGGTTTGGTGGTGATAAATTCCCCTAGTCTGTTTCTGTTTGTGAAGCTCCTGATTTCACCTTCAATTTTGATTGATAGCCTTTCTGGGTACAGTATTCTTGGATTCAGATCCTTCCTTTGCATGATTTTGTATATTTCATCCCATTCCTTTCTGGCCTGATGAGTTTCTGTGGAGAAATCAGTTGCTAGTCTGATAGGGGTTCCTTTATATGTAACTTTCCGTCTCTCTCTGGCTGCTTTTAAGATTCTTACTTTGTCGTTGGTGTTTGCCAATTTACTTATAATATGCCTTTGTGTCGGTCTTTTGGGATTCATTTTGCTTGGGACTCTGCAAGCTTCTTGAATTTGTGTGGGGTTTTTCTTCTCTATGTCAGGAAAGTTTTCTGTCATTATTTTTTCAAACATTTTTTCTATGCCTTCCTCATTTTTCTTTCCTTCTGGAACCCCTATTATTCTAATATTGTTTTGTTTTGTATTGTCCCAAAGTTCCCTTAGGCACTCCTCCTGCTTTTTAATTTTTTTTTCCCCCAGAAGCTGCTCTAATTGGGTATTTTTCCCCATCTTGTCTTCTAGCTCACTGATGTGGTCCTCTGCTTCTCTAGTCTATTCTTGATGCTTTCTATTGAGTTCTTTACAGTAGCGATGCCATTTTTCATTTCTCCTTGGTTCTTCTTCATTTCCTCTTGGTTCTTACTCATATTGTCAAATTTTCTTTCATTCTTTTTAGCATCTTATGATCATTACTCTGAATTCTTGTTCTGGTAGGTTGCTTGCCTCTAACTCGTTTACTTCCTTTTCTGGTGATGCCAGCTTTTCTTTCATATGTGTGCTGTTTCTTTTTCTCTCTCCATGATCTCTCTTTTCAGGATGTCTGATTATGTAGTTCTCTCTCTCCTGTGTTGATTTAAAGTCACAAAATACAACACAACCAGGTACAACACACAAGGCACTGAACAGAAATGTGTTTGTGATATTAATAACCTCCAATAAAGGTGACCATTAGAGAAAGGTAAATTATGGGGTAGGGAAGATAGAAGAGGAAAAAAAAAAGTGACAAAATGAAATTGAGAGAAGGAGAAAAAAAAGAGTGAGAGAAACTAGAAGGATATTAAGAGAGAAACGAGGAACTAACAATATATATGGGAAGGAAACTCCAATAGAACAACCCTTAATCACAGCAAATGTCAGGAACAAGTATCTGGATATTAATACAACTTAAACACCAACTAATATCAAGCGAGGGAAGGTAAAGCAGAAGTAAAAACTAACTAAAACACAGCTAACAAAAACATACAATCAAACAAAAACAATAAGCAAAACCATCTCACAAAAAAGCATAAAACTTCGATATAGTTAACATTCAACATACAAGTACAAATGGATAGAGAGAAAGACTTTTTTTGTTTTTGTTTTGTTTTGTTTTTAGGACAGTGAAAAGGGAGGTGTTTATGGGCTTGGATCAAAGGGTTGGAAATTAGATATACACAAGTAGGGTGAAATTTTAGCAGGGGTAAACAGAAAGAATAGGGAAAATCTAGAGCAGGAAAGGGTTAAGATAATCAGGACACCAAAGGGGAAAGGTTAGGAAGAGAGGGATGGCATAAAGGTAGGATTGAGATAGAATAAAGCATTGGTGAAGGAAAGGTAAAAATAGACTGTAGAACACTAATCCCAAAGTAAAATAAAGAGCAAATAATATGACACTTAAAAAAATAATAATAATAAACAAAAGTAAATAAGATAAAAAAGGTAAAATAGTAGTAGTAATAATGCTGATTACAAATAAAAATATATTAATTAAAAAGGTAAAATCAAGTGGGAAAAAAAGAAAAAATAGTTTCTTGAGTAATGTTGCAAATAATGAAAATAAAAACAAAAATTAAAAAATAAAAAAAAACATAAAAAAAATTAAATAAAATGTGTAGTAGTAAAGGTCATTCACTTCCTCTATCGTTCTGTTTGGCACGCCTGTTTCCCAGTCCGGACAGTATTGCAGTTCCCTGCGTTTCACTGCTCCTCAGTGTTGTAATCGGGTCCTGATTTTTAAGCAGGCCTTGCTTTGATTTATTACACTAGGGTCAATTTGTGATTTAGCCTCTGGGTGGCAGTGTTTCTGAGTTGACTTCCAGGGCTCTAAAGCCTCTCTAGCTTTTTTCCCACTCTATGACACTCCACTGATCTGCGGAAGTTGGTGGGCAAGTCTGAGCTGACTGCACTGCCCTGAAGCTCGCTGGTTATCCCTCCACGTCAGATCAAAATGGGTTGATATCTTTAGATATCCTCCCTATTAGGAGCCCCATCCACAATCATGGATGACACCAGCCCAACAGCCCGGGGCTTCTCCTTGTAAACACTGCCCCAGTCCTCCAGCTTCCGCACGGCGCGGCAGGCTTCTGTCTTCACATGGACTCACCCTATACCCGAAAAATCTGACCTTTTTGCCATGTGGGTGGAGCGCTCTTTGGAATCCAAGTGTTCGAGCTGCCTGGGACTGGCATTCTGGGGCTCACAGATGCTCAGTTGTCACTGCAGCTGTTGTTATTCAGGCCTCTGACAAGATCCACTTTTCCTTTAAAGATGGTGAGATTTCCCTGTCCAAGCCCGCAGGTAGCTCTGGGAGGGGACCCAGCCCCGCTGTGGGTGCTTCCCTGTCAGGGGCACCCTGATCAGCAGTCTCTCACCTTCTCCTGGAGTTCGCCTGTCTCTTAGCTTGCTAACAAACACTCCCAGCGTGACCCTCAGCTGCTCTCTCTTTCTGCTTCGGAACCCGTCCATCTATTCTTCCGCCATTTTGTGTCTCTCTCCCTTTCTCTTTATAGCCACTCTTTCTCATAACAGTAAATCTACCCTAGAAATTCATAAGCAAGTACAGTCACCCCCAGCCCCCACCCCCAGACCTCTATCTGAGGGAGATACGTTTTGATATCCTCAGCAAATACCTGAACCCGCAGATAGTACTAAACTCCATATATATTATATTATTTTCTATATACCATATGCCTTTTCACTGAATGGAGGCACCTTACGGCTATTCTTTGACACATCTGAATTGCCAACATAACTACTCTTATGCTTTGAGGTTATTGTTAAGTAAAATAAGAGTGACTGGAACACAAGCACTATGATACCACAAGAGTAGATCTGATAACTCAGATAGTTACCAAGTGACTCCTGTGTGGGCTTATATACAGTGAGGACATGCTGGACAAAGGGACAATTCACATCCCAGGTGGGATGGAGTGGGTGATGTGAGCTCCCATCACAACTTTAGAACAATATGCATTTTAAAACTTATGAATTATTTATTTCTGCAATTTTCCTTTTAATTTTGTCAGACCACAGTTGAGTGTGGGTAATTGAAATCGAGGGAAGTAAAACAGTGAGTAGGAAGGGGGTGGGTGAGGAAACCACTGTATTACAGGATGCAGCCCAAGTCCTGAAAGTTGATAGTAACCTCATGTGTGCTTTGTACTTTTCCCCCATCACCTGGAAGAGCTAAGACAGCCAGAAACCTATAGTATTCGTGATGGTCTACAGATGGTGTGGGTGCTGGAGGGAAAGTCTTTAATCGCAGTGCCTTCTGACGACCCCAATGTCAAACCTGGTGAGTGACAATGTTTGCCTCTTATAGGGATACCAGCTCCACTGGGGATGGGGCTGACCTTGTATGAGCTCAGCTATGGTCTCTCCTACTGGGCACCAGCTGTGTCCACAGGAGGGCAAGAAAGGGCAGGTGGTTCCCTTCTGCAAAAGAAACCCCGCACCTAGAAATGAGGAGTGAGGGTGGGAGGTTCTCCTTACCCAAAGAAAATGTCTTCAACAAGATGGGGTTGTCCATTCATTCAGCAGCCAATCTTTTCCTCGGAGCTTCTCTCCTTTAAATTTCATCCATTGCTACCTATGTCCTCAGATTGAATTCCTTCACCTTCCACCACCAAACTGCACATTCTTCTAACTGGGTGCCCTCTCTTCTGGTAATAGGAAAATATTTCTTCCTCCTGTCATAGGTCAATCATGCCTCAATGAAGCTGTGGGAAGAAGTCAGTGCAACTTAGCTCTTTCCTTCCCCCTGGGATTCAGTGTTTGATCCCATCCCTCTGTCCCCTGCATATCCCACTTTTGTCTATCTATTTATTGGGTCTTTTCAGTTACTGACAAACATGCTCTAACATAATATTTCTAAGCTTAATACTAAAAATCTCTTCTTGATGCCAACATTTCATTCCTACCATTGATCTGTTTTCCTCTATACAATGCACCATGCTATATGCCAACCACAGCCAAATTCCGTAGAAGCGTTGACAATACAGCCTGTCTCCATTTTTCCTTCTGCTCATGCGTACATGATGTGAAAGACGCCTGAGCAGACATCTGAGGCCAGTGTGATGAGCCCATTGTGCCTTATGAATCTCACACTCACGCCAACCATCACCTAAGTCTAGGAAGACACAGGATATATAGAAGGAGCTCAACCCTAGCCTGTTTAGCTCAGTGGGTCCTAGGTTTGTTTCAGGTCAAGGGCTTGTACTTCAATTGCAGGCTCAATCTCCGGCCTTGGTCAGGGCATGTGTGGGAGGCATCCAATCCATGTGTCTCTCTCACATCGATGTTTCTCTCTCTGTGTCTCTCCTCCCTCTCACCCTCTCTAAAAATCAATTGGAAGATACCTTTGGGTGAGGATTAACAAAAATAGGTGCTCCTTCCAGCTGAGGGAGCTCCTCTTAAAGAACATTCTTGGAAATCCCACACTACACTTCCACTGGAACTCATGGGCTACAACTTAAGGTCTGGTCAAAGTTAGCAGAAGTGTGGTGGGGAATTTTATTTTTATTTTGGGGAAACTGGGCTCTGATAGGAAGGAAGGAAAAAGGAAATGGGTTTCTACTACCCATCTATGATGGAGCAGTTCTATCCCCTGGCTAATTGGGGGAGCCTTCTGGGAAGACCTGTCTGGTCAGTACCAGGCTGGGAAGAGCAACTGCATCTTGGCAGGACTGGCCTTTCTGCCTCCTGGAGCTGATGCCTGTTTCCATGTCTCTATTTCCAGTGACTATTTTCTCAGTGCCATGCAGAGACCCGAACATCTCTAATGAAAAAGGCAATCCAATATACCTGGGAGTCCAGGAAGATCTCTGTCTGTTCTGTGCAGAAATTAATGGCCAGCCTACCTTGCAGCTTAAGGTGAGTGATTGTGCAGCTAATGAGAGAAATACTGTGACTTTTCATTTAATTTAGTATATTTCTATGTAAAAATAACATTTTAGCAACCCTGGATTATTTATACATTGTAAGGAAACCTGACTTAGTCTGCAAGCCAATACTTGAACCCTTTGAAATGGGTGTAACACTGTCAGAGCATCCTCTGAATGCCAGAAAGGACACCACAAAGGTATTTCAGGAAGGCCAGGGCAGCAGCTTCTCCATTCCTTGAACTCTTTAAATGCCTCCTAGAAACACTCTAAGATGTTGGGGCCCTCCCATGTGAGATCAGGCCACCACACACAGAGGAGGGAAGGGCAGATTGTGTCTGCAATCTGCAGATTTCATGTTTGTGTTCCCTGCACTGAAAGCAGCATTTATGGTCATGAAGTTCATTCTTCTGCTGTGACGGACACTGCAATGTGAGCACCCACTGGAGACTGGGAATCTTGTGAGGCTGGTCTGAACCTGTAGATGGGTGCCTAGTAGGAGCACCTATGACACAATGATCCCCACTCTGTTCTGGGAAAGATGGTGTTGTCTCAAAGAATCGGAAGTACCTAGTGCTGTGGGATTTCAGGAGGAGCCAAGCTTTTGGGAACTGAAGTGTTGCCTGTGTTTGCACCTGGCACCCTCCTCTCATCAGCCCATGCTCCTCCCTGTGGGGAAAGCAGTCACTCCTGAAGCTGAATTAATTGAGCTCCCTCCTCCCAGTAATCATCTCTGATAGGCCTCTTTCTGTTCCTAGGAGCAAAACTTAATGAAACTGTACAAGGAAAAGGAGGCGAAGAAGTCCTTTCTCTTTCTGCACAGTCCAGAGGGCTCCACCTCCTCCTTCGAGTCCGTCGCCTACCTGGGCTGGTTCATAGCCACTTCCTCTCAGGCTAGACAGCCAGTCACCCTCACAAAGGAAAGGGGAAAAACTTACAACACCAACTTCTATTTCAGATCTTTGCAGCCTGGGCTGTGGTAGGCTGATTCCGGGACAGAGAATCTCTAGGTCCACCTCACACCTGTCAGAATGGCTATCATCAACAAATCAACAAACGACAAGTGCTGGAGAGGATGAGGAGAAAAAGGAACCCTCCTTCACTGATGGTGGGAATGCAGACTGGTGTAGCCACTATGGAAAATAGTATGGCATTTCCTCAAAAAATTAAAAATGGAACTGCCATTTGACCCAGTAATACCACTTCTAGGACTACAGAAACACCAATCAGAAAGGATATATGTACCCCTATGTTCATAGCAACACAATTTACAATAGCTAAGATTTGGAAACAGCCTAAATGTCCATCAGCAGATGAGTGGATTAAAAAACTGGAACATCTACACAATGAATACTACTGCTATAAAAAAGAAGGGATTTTTACCATTTGCAATAGCATGGATGGACCTGGAGAGCATTATGCTAAGTGAAATCAGCCAGTCAGTGAAAGGAAAATACCACATGATCTCACTTATTTATGGGTAACAAAGAACATTATAAACTATGAACAAAAATAGATACAGAGGCAGAGAAGCATCAAACAAACTGTCAAACTACAGTTGGAAATCTGGGGAGGGTGGTGGGGGTTAAGAGATCAACCGAAAGACTTGTATGCATGCATATAAGCATAACCAATGGACACAAAACACTAGGGGGGGGGGGCGGGGGGGGGGGCATGTGCCAGTGGGTAGGGGAGGCTGGGAAAAAATACATATCTATTACTATTTGTAATACTTTAAACAATAAAATAATTTTTTTAAAAAAATTCAAGAATAAATGCATTAAAAGTAAAAATAAAAAAAGAAGAAAAAAAAAAGAAAAAAAAAGGACAGACCACCAAGCATTGATGTCCATCCACAGTTCACCTCATGCTCAGCACCCAAAGCCACCTCCTCTAGACATTCACTGGCACACATGACTCCCAATAGATTGTTGTTCCAGTATTAAAGCTGAGAGTCACTTTTTATTCTTTCCTGATCTTGTATTATTATCCATTTTGTTGTCAAGTCCAGTTGCTGTAAATCAAGATCTACAGCAATTAATATAAATTTGAGAAGACTGTCAGAAGGATGACCTGGGCTCCTTTGATATTCACAGGGTGAATTTCCATTTTATGACCTACTGCTGACTCAATGGCCTAATGCAAACTCCCCAACCTGATAATCTTACTGTTTACTAAACAATCACCTTTGATATGTCTGTTTGCATTCCTAAAAGGCAATTGTGTATTCTGGTATATAAAAGCAGAACAGAGACTCAGTGGAACTTGACTACTACAGTTTTTTCTGGTTTCTCCCCATAATTTCAAAATTATTATTTCTTGTGTTTTAATTTGCATATCAGCTCTTTCTTCAAGACCGAACTGGCCATGGCTTTTCACATCCAGTTAAGTCAACATCCCAAATGCTCCTTGTACACAACCCTCTCCTGTTCCTCCCGCCAACCCATGGCTTAGAGATGTGAATTGCAAACATTTTTGTTCATATCACTTAATACAAATACTATTTATTAATTTTATACATGTTCATTATAAATATTGGAAATTTACTCCCAAAGAGAAATATAAAGAATAAGAAAAATATGAAATAAACATTTTACATGTTCATACTCATGGTGAATTCTTAATACCATTAGTTAATAATTTGACACATAGTATATACTTTGGTTAAAGATGAATTGTTAACATATGAATACAAATGAACAATATGAATGCAAATCAATCCATGTTTCAAAGAATCGCATATCAGTTTGAATTATTTTTCAGGCAACTTCTCGAAACTCCTTGTTTTTACTTTCTAAAGTGGCTGGTAGTAGGTCAGCTATGACATTTTCTTGTTATTTTTTGGAATTATAGCAGAACCTTCAATCAATAGTTTCTTTATTGGGATGTTTTTAAGCCCATTGTCCATTTTGTGAGGGTGACTTTAGTTAAAGCCTGTAATGAAATCTACAAACTCACCTCACCAATCACATATAAACTTTAATTTACTATAATATCCTGGACATGAATGTGAGTGTAATGGGCTCTCCTCTCAGGAGACCCTGTCTTTCTTTGCACAAGACAAGTGTGATCATCAGTGTGAGATTCTCCCTCCTCCCAATTGGTGGGCGGAGTTATGACATTACTGGCATCTATCACAGAGACATCACCAAGACATTGAACCACCAATCAACACGTGCCAAAGTGCCCCGGAGCCACTCCTTCCTATTTCCACCCTGGGTCCAACCCTCTTCTGTTCCTCCCCTTAAAAAGATCCCCAGACCAGCCACGTGTTGCCTTCCTCCGTGTCCATCTGGAGGCAGTCCAGCTGGGTCCTTTCTCCCCTCCCCACTTCTTCAATTCTGATTTCTCTACTTCTGTAATGAGTCCCGCTCATTACTGGGGAATAAACTTTACTTTAAAATGTCTTGGTGGTCAGTTTTCTGCATCTCAAACCTTACAATCAGGTTTTGCAATGAGTACCGATTGCTAACTAAGTTTGATTTTCTCAGCCAGGCATAATCTGTTCCAAGACCTGTCCTTCTGGCATTACCTCCTGTTGCTTCACTGCCCAGGATTGTTGGTGATAACTCTTGAACCCCACCTTACACCCTGCTAGCCTGCCTTTTCCCCAGTCACTGCTATACTTTGAGAAGTCATCTCTGTTGTTCCAGCCTGCTCAGGGGTGCCTAGGACATCTTGGGTAGGGCACTTGCAGGGACCAGCCCTGTACTCATGCATGTGCACACCTGGAACTAAGAGGGAGCTGCTCCAGAGGAAACCTTCACCCGTGGGGGGATGGGAGTGGGTGGGAAATGCTATGCCTCCCATCACATGGTGGACAGTTCTGAGAAGCATTATATCTATTACATCTACATGGTTCTCAGAGGGTCCCAGCAGGACTTGGTCATAGTTGCCCATGGCAGTGCTGAGCCCAAGAACACATCCTCATGTTGGTTGCCCTAGCATTCCTGCTTCCATTTTCCTAGCCCCTACTCCTGTATGCTTCTCATCACCCTGCATGCAAGCATTGTCTCAGGCTCTGCTTTCTGGTGTAAACTGAGGCTGAGAAAATTCAGAGTAACTTCTTTTCTCTACTACTTACTCCCAGCACATCAGCTTCCCTCCCCCAACACCTCCTCTCATGCAAACATCTCAGACACATGCATCCCTGTGTATCTCACTGCCCATGTGTCTAACATCCTACATGTCTGAAGTGTTGATTGATCTCTCTCTATCTCCCCAACCAAATGCAATATCTAGTCTCCTTTAAGGTCCATAACATTTTGCCTTCTCTTGTGACATTTCTTTTGCTAGATTTTGTGCTCATTTATCCATTTGTCTTGGCCCCTCTGCTCTCTTCTCCTCAACCAAATTCTAGGTACATAGAGAACAGAGATTGTGTCTTTTATGCCTATTTACTCCCCTTAAGTGCCAACTATTGCCTCTTACATAAAGGTTTCTAAAAAAAAATTGTAAGTGCTTCTTTTATTTTCAACGGATACTGGCAATCTGCCTTTTGATGTGGCTTTTTCAGCATATACTCCCAACGATGTGTTTATCTTTCCTTCCCTGACCAAAACCTACTTTTAAATTAAAAACCATTGTTCATCCAGTGTATTAAGAATATCTTGTTGTTACTGTAATTGGCATGCCTCTGAGTACTAGGATACCATTGACTGGTCAGCACATTCTAGTCTTGGCTTCTAACTTCTCCACCAAAACATTTTTTTGAGCATCACCAATGACATCTCAGTTGCCAAATCCCATGGGCATTCTGCTGTACTCATCTTAATCAGTGTTGAACACAGCCTGCTGCTCTGCCTCATTTTTACACTCACATCTAGGGGTGATGGCCACAGAGCATTTCCCAACCCCAGTGCTTTTCTCTCTCATTCCTCTTCTCCAGTTCCTCCTTCTGTGACTTCAAAAGTTAAGGTTCCTCAGGCCTGATCTCTCCTCTATGCTGTCTCTCTGGATGACATTACTGGTTCTCATGAATGGAAAACTGTCCTGATGGATGGGCCAGTTTGATATAGCCCAAGATTCTTGTTAGAATACCAATTTATATTGTCCCAGAGCATGCAAATTGAGTATGTCCTAAGTAGTACCCTCAATAATTGTCCAATATGCCCACTCCCACACCCAGTTACTCAAGACAGAAACCTAAGACTCATCTTTGATTCCTCCTTTCCTTGAAGCCCTACATCCAACCCATCAAGTCTATCCTCCTTTCCCTAAAGAGGTTTATCTTCAAAATACACCTCAACTCCACCCATCTCTCTCCAATGTTTCTGCCACCCACCACTGCATATAGAGCAACTGCCATCACTTCCCAGTCTGTAAATTAGAATCCTGGTTGGCTGTCTCCACCCATTCCTCCGTCTATCTGTTAAATCCATTCTTTATGAATTAGCCAGGATTATCTCTGTAAGTGGAGATTTAACTGTATCATTCCAATATTTAGACTCCTCCAGTGCTTCCACTTACACCCTCTATTGTTATCTTCAGTCATGCTAATCCATCCCCATTCATTTTTTCAACATGCCAAGTTCCTTATAGCCCCAGGACCTTTGCATATGCCATGCTCATATATATCCCTGTTATCTATATTAGTTTCTTTTTATTATTTGCCTTTCTAGCTTCTTCAAGTTACTTCTTCATATGTTACCCCCTCAAGAGGCCTTTTCTAACCACCATGTCTGAAGTAAGCTGCTTCCTCTACCTCCTGAAATTTCTATCTACAGTTTTTTATTGTTTTCTTCGCATCACTTATAATGACCTCATTTAATTGTCTTTATCTTTCTTTACTTCCTCCTTTTATTATAAAGTTCCTGATTGCCAGGAAGTATCAGTTGTCTAGTTCATCATTATATCCCCAGTCCCTAGCACAGTGTCTGTGTTTAATAAATACCTGTGGAATAAATAAATTATTCATTAATAAAATGATCAGTGAGTGAATGAATGAGGATCTGACCTCCTCAGGCAGCCAACCCTCCTTAGCAGGACTAGCCTTTTTCGGAATAAAATCTACTTTCCTGTTCCTAAGCCTTGATGTCACAGAGAAAGAAGTGCCA